TATATATATATATATATATAAAATGTAATTTATTCCTCCTTTTATATAAAATGTAATTTATTCCTCCTTTCTTTCCTCCCTCGTTTACAGACCAGATGATGTGCTGCTTAGGCGTACCCACGATGAGACAGTCCTCTTGCATTGTTTTCTCTGGCCTCTGGTTACTTTTCTGGTAGGAGTCCTAATTGTGGTCCTGACAATCTGTGCAAAGAGCTTGGCTGTTAAAGCAGAAGCAATAAAAAAGAGGAAACAGTCATAAATGGAAAAAGTCACTGAAGATGAAGGAAAAAGCTGTAAGAAAAGTCAAAAGTGGTAAATCCAACATAAGCTGCACTTCTCCAGTGCACCCAGATATGCCCATTACCAGGGTACTGTTGGACTTTGGCGTTGCTGATGCCTGAGGATTATTCTTGGGGGACAGCTTTATGAAATGTCAATTAATTGCTTCTTCTGCCAAGACAGTAAACAAGAATATTCCACCAAAAGATTATAAACTGCACCAAATATATTGTACTGTATTAGACTAAACTTGAACAATGGCTATTTATCCAGGTCTGTCTTGTACTGAGAGACAGTATGAGAAAACCCAAAATGTGGTTAATTTAATCTTCACAGAACAAACTTTGTTGTTAGTATTTGGTATTAAATATTAAAAATATTATTTACTTTATCATAGATTGTGTTTCTGAAATAATAAAGGATGATGGTTTTGTTTTTTTACCTTTGTTCAATGTTTTTTTTAATTTTAATTTAAAGCTCAAAAATAACATATTCCACTTATTTTATTTCTTTTCACTGTACTGGAGTGTTTCATTTTGAAATTGACACTGGCTTTACATAAAATTCTTCTTTCAGCGTTTGTTGTTTATTATTATTGCAAATTAAGATCCCTGAGGAATTTTTCTTTTTTAATTGGAAAACAAATACTGACTTTTATCTGAAAGAGAAAAACAATGCTCGGAATAATCCTGTTGACTCAGTAGCTGTTCTGTGAGTTCTCTTAGCATTATCAGGTTCACAAAGTGGTGATATAAACTACAGAGATCTTTTTTGGTAGTAGAGATCGCACTAAGGTGCTGTGTTATACTTGTAATCACATACTTAAATTAGAAAGTGCAATGGGCCATGGAGTCACTTTATGTCATTTAGTTCAAGTGATAGTCAAAAAGAATAAGATTTCAATTTTTTACAGGTTCTTAGAACATGTCAGTCAACAACCATTGTCACAATTACTCACTCCATCGCTGTGAACAGTTTTAAGTCTTGGCAAAAAGATGCTTTTCAACATTCAAGTTAAGATGTGCTAGTAACTGAAGAACTCAGTATCTGCTTTCCCTATCTTACTCTGCCATTTCCATTTTTTGCATCATAAATCTGAAAGGGTATGTCTACACTACCCCGCTAGTTCGAACTAGCGGGGTAATGTATGCATACTGAACTTGCTAATGAAGCCTGGGATTTGAATTTCCCGGGCTTCATTAGCATAAAGCCGGCGCCGACATTTTTAAAAGCCGGCTTGTTCGAACCCCGTGCCGCGCGGCTACACGCGGCACGGGCTAGATAGTTCGAACTAGCCCGCGTGTAGCCGCGCGGCATGGGGTTCGAACAAGCCGGCTTTTAAAAATGGCGGCGCCGGCTTTATGCTAACGAAGCCCCGGAAATTCAAATCCCGGGCTTCATTAGCAAGTTTGGTATGCATACATTACCCCCCTAGTTCGAACTAGGGGGGTAGTGTAGACATACCCAAAGATATTTATCCTAGTGAGGTTAGAGAATAAATGTAGGCAGCACAGTGTTGTTCAACTCAAAGCTTTCTCTATCTTTGTCACAAGTCTTATTAAAGAGGTCTCCCACTTTTCAGTGTATTTCTGATGTATGCCCTATGATAATATAGCATATTTTAAGCCTTTATTGGCAAGTCTGCAACTCTAAACCTGCTTTTTATTTTTTTAACCTCTCTGCCATTCTTAGTGTTGATTTAAATATCGATATCTAGTTTGTTGCTGTCTGGCTCATTTGACAATTATCAATTAGACATGTTTCCACAAGAAAAAGCTAACTGGACTTTAAACCCTAGGAAACATTCTTTTGTCATATAGTTGGGTGGCAAAAATTGATTTCATTATCTATTATCTTTTCAGTTGTTATTGTACACATAAGAATAAAATATTCAGATGCTTGAATGGCTTTTTATTTTGGAAATTAGAATGCAGTAGTGACAGTATGGGGTAGTACTGTGACTTAGGAGGCCTACAGATTCTTCCTAGTTCTTCCATTCTCCTGGTGTATGACTTCTGGGATGTCACTTAATCTTTTGTGTCTCAACTTCCTATCTGTAAAATAGGAATAATGTTACACTTCTCAATAAGGCACTTTGAAAGGTAAGGATGAAAAGCTCTATGTAAATAGTGTACACATAATTTTCTGCTCAAAGGTTCACTCACTAGATGTATACTTTTTATCCATCCTCCTCCTTTGAGTTGGAGGAGAAAAAAAAATGCCATTATGAATGGAGGGTATGATTTTTTTCCTAACTGCCTATGGAAATTCGGTATCTTTTGAAAATACAAGCCTGTTAGTTAGCAAAGAACACATCTTTTTATTCAGCGACAATGTCTAGATTCCAAGACCTCTGTTTCATGTACTGCAATCCTGTTGCCTTAGCAACAAACTACCTTAGCAACAAACTGAACCATTCCATGGATTTTATTATAACACTGCAAATCAGAGAAAATTGCCGTCTTTGGACAGTTTTGCCATTTAAGTTGACATGCTGGAAACTCCACTTTTTATATGTTTTGATTGATACTGTCTGTGCACAACTCATATGACCAGTCTGCATAACCTCTATTTAATGAACATTCAAATATCTTTGTTTTTTTTCAAAGGAGCTAGAAAAATGTGATGAGTGACACAGACTGATCCAGAGTTTGAGGCAGCAGCTGGGTTCTTATAAATCCAGATTAACTAAATCCTCTCTAGCTTTTCTATAAAAGCTTTTGTGACTGAATTGTCTGGATGATTCCCTGAGCAAAGGTAAGGAGTGAATTGAGTTTGAGTAGTCAAATCTAGTTTGTTTGGCTATCACAGCTGTAAACCTGTTAGAATTATGAGACACGAGTAGGAGTAAACCACAGTTTTCAGGATCACCTTCCATCTTGCAGAGCATTTGCATCAGGAGTAAACAAAGAACATTCAATTGGAAAGCAAAGCATGCTCTCTGTGTTGGAGTATAGTGGAGGAGAAAATTAATTCTTCTATCACTTTTGCTTTGGTGGTTTAGACATTTTCAGCTAATCCCTACACTTGATGACTGCTTCCTGAGATTTCCCGCCATAAGATTGTTGATTTCCTATTGGCTCAGTATATTTTCCAGTTCTTGTTGCATATTCTGCAGAGATCTGTTAAGAAAGCATTTAATTTTAAGCAGATAGACTGGTCTGAGTTTTCCACTTTATTCAATATTTATATTCCCACTACTTTGAAGGCCTCTGCTTCATCATGCTCTCTGATGCATTGTTTTTCATGTGCCCACTTTATATAATATTCAAATCCATTAGCTTCATAGGCTTATTTTTATAAATCCCATATTAAATAATTGGAACATTGTTTGTTTAAGTCCACCTTTCCTGGTGTGTTTTGCATATTTTGTATTTGTAATAAATTAAGCATCCAGAGGTAGATTAGAAAATTAACTGCTACGTTAAGAAGCTTAACTCCACCACATGAACAGAAGAGTTCAAGTTCTGTCTGTGTAGTATTCAGAAGTAACCACGCACACCCTGTAGTGTAAATATAGCCTGTTTTGTGTGTTCTGTGCAAAACTGGTTGGAATTTGAGAGCTGAAATTCCATAGTCTATCTCTTTGAGTCTGGGCCTGTGTTAGAAAGTCAGCAGTATGCAGCTGTGGTGACTCAGGGGGAGGTTGCAGCAGGAGTTTCAGCTACTTAGACAGTGGTTTTTGTTAACAGTGGAAAAGCAAAAAGTGGCATACACCTAAGGCATAGCCTATTTCAACGACCTGTGAGCTGAACCCTTAATCAACCAAAATGTGATAATCAAGCGCTACAGCAAACAGCCACTTGGGTACTCTTCCCTGGAAACTTCAGAGAGCTGGTTAATTCTTTTTGTAAGATACTGCAAGGATGAAATGGCTGGGTTTTCTCAGTTTGTAATGCAGTGGAAGGATCATGGAATTTTTAAAGCTTCTCTCACCTCTTTTATCCTATTGTACCATTTTGTCCCAGCTCCAGACATTTAGAAATTATCCTTCCAGTAGTGTATGTGTATACCTACAGCTGTTATGCATATCAAACAAATCTTCACTTATGGTACACCAAAGAATCAGTATAGCTTCCTTATCCTCCAGAGTCCAGATGATAGAGCAAAAGTTTAATAGACAGATCTTTGTTTATTAAGGGAGATGCTAAAAAGAAAAACAGGTTAAATATCTTTAAACCCCCAGCAAATGGACCATTCTTTATAGTGATTAAATAAACTTCAAGAAGTGCAAGTTCTTGACAACAAGAGATGTAATTTCTATTCATAACACAAATAGATGTATTTTAAATATTTAAATTTATACTAATGATGTATATAATATAGATGCTGAGAGAGTGCAGATTATATGTTTATAAAGAAGTGGAATGTTAAAGGATCTTTTGTCAATGTTGCAAATACATGTTTCTGAATATCAGAAATCCATTTTTGCAAACTTTAACCTGTCTACAAATATTTGAAAGAGCAAGGAGCGGAGGGGGGGAAAAAGGGGGAATTAAATAGAATGGTGCAAAAAGCAGCAGGTAGGAGTTTATAATATGTAACCTATTAGACTGTGAAATAGTTTCCCAAAAGAAGCGATGGAAGCTTCTTTGCTGAAGTTGTCTAAAATGTAGGGTGGGTTTGCTTTCATCTTTAGTTTCCATGAAAATCCGCAGTCTTTTTCCTCAGGATGGAGCAGCTGCCAAACCTCTATTAAAACAAAAGCCTTTCCTAATCATGTTATCTAAAGAAGTTGTTAAGATGATATGTCAGATTAACTATCATCTGTACAATGGAAAGCATAAAAACATGAGCAATAAACCCTTGTAAGGAATGATTGTGCAATCAATCAAACTGGCTTAGACTATCACAAACTTGCTGATTGGCTCAGACAGTATGTTTATAACTGAGAGGGTAGGGGGTGAATCATATGAATCAATGTTCTGATACAAAAGCAATTACCTACATGAGTTTAATTCACAATTTTATCATTTTAATGGAGATTTGCAATTTCATGTTTCAGAAAAACACTTTCTATTCATTATGCATGCATCCTGTAGTTTTAAAAAGCTAATGAGAAAAGTAAATAGAATGACTCATCATGCTGTATAACTATATATGAAATAAACATTTTAAAAATTCACAACCCATTTCCAAAGAGATGCATAGATTAATCATCCATAAAATAAATTTCCCAGAAAAGCAAGGAGGTTAAGGCTACTAGAAGCTTCTCTGTTGTTGTTTATATAAAAGGTGATTTGCTGAGGAAGAGTCTTTAGTGGTGCACAACACTATATACGCCATACTCTTTCATAGCGTTTTGGCTCATTCAGGATCTATTTGAGTTTCATTTGTTGCTCGCTGGCATTAGGATAGGAATGCAATTCTCATAAACTATTTTGATATCATAGTAGCTTTTCACCGATTGACAGTAAGGGCCATGTTTTCTAGGCAAAGCAGTTTAAATACCCACATTTCTTATGGTTGGAAGAGAGTCTCAGAAAGAGCAGTTCTCTAAAGAAGTTATTACCTTCATTTTGTTCTCAAAAATCTGGGGTGCCAAAGCAAGGCTGTTCAGAGGCCAATGAATTTCTCTGTCTTTGTAACTTTAGCCTGTGGACTAATCCACACTGGGTGTTCTTATTGCAATTGAATTGAAATAAGAAGCCATTTCTAGTCCTCTTTTGGGAAATAAGCAAATATTATGAGTTGTGTGTGTGTGTGTGAAATTTTTATATGTAAATTCATATTCAGTCTTCTGGCTCTTGACACAATGCCTGTATGCAAAGCCTAGACATCTGTGTGGGTAGTTAGAGGGGCTGTAGGCTGAGTTTGGAAGATTTGCCATTTTAACACTTCTCTATAAGTTTCTTTGATATTGCAGTATAGTATTTGCAGATCAGCCACACTTATTGGTGCCCTCTGTGAAATGTGTAAGTTACTGTAATTTTTGTAGCTGCATATCATAGGGTACATGATGAAGCATGCCTCCAGCTCCCATCCCAGACAAGTTTTTCAATCTATTGTATACAGCCAAGCCCTAAGATACAACCGGATTTGCTCTGATCCCACAGGCAGAGACAAACACCTACAGGATCTTTATAGAGCATTCCTAAAACTGAAATACCCACCTGGAGAAATGAAAAAACAAATTGATA